CCTTCCAGTATTGGGCAACTTCCTGGTAGGTTTCAGCATAAGGAGTGGGAAGGCAAAAGGGTCAAGGGAAGGCCACTATCACAAGGAAAATTCATGAAAATACACACATATATATGGAGCCCCCCGGTGGCGCAGTGGGTTAAAGCACTGAGCTGCTGAGCTTGTTGATCGAAAGGTCGCAGGTTCGATTCCGGGGAGCGGCGTGAGCTTCCGCTGTCAGCCCTAGCTTCTGCCAACCTAGCAGTTCGAAAACATGCAAATGTGAGTAGATCAATAGGTACCGCTCCGGCGGAAAGGTAACGGCGCTCCATGCAGTCATGCCGGCCACATGACCTTGGAGGTGTCTACGGACAACGCTGGCTCTTCGGCTTAGAAATGGAGATGAGCACCACACCCCAGAGTCAGACATGACTGGACTTAATGTCAGGGGACTACCTTTACCTTTTTACACACATATATGTATATATGTTAGATTTAGTAGAAGCCATATGCTTATAATCTCATAGAAAGGTTGAGGGAATTTATACATTAAAAAATACGTTTCGCAAGGGGGGGATGATAGAAGACACAAAATTCATGAGAGGAGGATCCCAGAGTTTCCACTGAGCCAACCAAAGGTCCCTGTTTGAGGCTGCGGTTGAGACACATTCCATCTGTCTTGACTCAACTGGACATCCAGGAACTGTGGAACTCCCTGCTGCAGGTCAAATTAACTTGAAAGCAGGGGCCTGGGGTGTGCTCGCCATCAGTTTGATACCACTTTAGCTGCCATGGGTCAATGAATCGGCTTGGAAAGAGGACTCGGTTTTGGTCAAAGGATCAGCCCCTCAAGAACAAGCAGTCCAGCTACTTAATGAGGACATGAGCCATTTATTAGGCAAATAAATGGGGAACTTTGAAAAATTTTGGGTACACTGATGTTATGCAACATTCCTGGTGCGGTTTGGAAGTATTTGGAGAAGGATGATGGGACTTGCAGTCACTTCACTCACTTCCTGAGACCACTGAGACCCTCGCCAATGACTGATCAAGACCAAACTTGGCACACGGAGCCCCCATGACTCACTCTACATCCTGGTATACTTTCGAGGAAGACAGACCATGGATGATGGGACTTCAAGTACCTCCACTCACTTCCACTGCAACGCTCATCCAATTACTGATAAAGACCAAACTTGGCACACAGAGTCCCCATGACCCACTCTACATCCTGGTGCACTTTTGAGGAGGACAGACCATGGATGATGGGACTTGAAGTACCTCCACTCTCTTCCCAAGACAGCTGCAACCCTCATCTAATGTCTGATCAAGATCAAACTTGGCACACAGAGCCCCCATGGCCAACTCAACATTCTGGTGAGGTTTGGGGAGAACAGACTATGGATGATGGGATTTCAAGTACCTCCACTCACTTCCCAAGACTGCTGAAACCCTCATCTAATAACCAATCAAGACCAAACTTGGCACACAGAGCCCCCATGACACTCTACATCCTGGTATACTTTTGAGGAGGACAGATCATGGATGATGGGACTTCAAGTACTTCCACTCCCTTCCCAACACTAATGCAAGCCTCATCTAATAACCGATCAAGACCAAACTTGGCACACAGAGCCTCCATGACCCACCCTACATCCCGGTGCTGCTTGAAAGAGGACGGACGATGGATGATGGGACTTGCAGTACCTTCACTCACTTCCTGAGACCACAGCGACATTCATGCAATGACTGATCAAGACCAAACTTGGCACACAGAGCCCCCATGACCCACTCTCCATCCTGGTGCAGTTTGGGGGAGGATGGACCACAGATGATGGGACTCGCAGTCCCTTCACTAACTTCCTGAGACCACTGCCAGCCATATACATAACTGATAAAAAGCCAAACTTGATACAATATTCCTTTCTCAAATAACCCGGGCAACGCTGGGTCCCCAAGCTAGTAAATAAATATATATATAGGAAGGGGCGGAGCCTCAGTGTAAACTGTGATTCACTGTATATCTCTAGTGTAGGAAGGGGCGGGGCCTCGGAGTTTCTGACAGACCTAAGACCCAATGAGGCTCCGAGGCCTTCCATTGGCCCCACCCACTCTTGGCAGAGCTCGTCCCCCCGCCCCTCGGAGGCGTCGTTCTGCGCCTGCGCGTCTGTTCTAATTGTAAGGGGCGGGGCTTCGGGATTTCTGTCAGCCCACTTCTGGGAGCGTCGTTCTGCGCCTGCGCGTCTGTTTTATCAGTGAGGGGCGGGGCCTCGACGTTTCTGTCAGCCCTGGCACCCAATGAAGCTCCGAGGCCTTTCATTGGCTCCGCCCACTATGTATCGCTCTGACTCACTGTATATCTTTCATGTAGGAAGGGGCGGGGCCTCTGGTTTCTACCAGCTCTGGAATCCAATGAGGTTCCGAGGCCTTCCATTGGCCCCGCCCACTCCGTATCTCTCTGATTCACTGCATATCTCTCATGCAGGAAGAAGCGGGGCCTCGGCGTTTCTGCCAACCCTGGAAGGCCCCGCCCACTTCTGGCAGGGCTCGGCCCCCGCTGCTGGGAGTGTCGTTCTGCGCCTGCGCGTCTATTTTATCAGTGGGGGGCGGGGCTTCGGGGTTTCTGTCAGACCTGGCACCCAATGAGGCTACGAGGCCTTCCATTGGCCCCACCCACTCTTGGCAATGCTCGTCCCCCCGCCCTCGGAGGCGTCGTTCCGCGCCTGCGCGTCTGTTCTATCTGTAAGGGGCGGGGCCTCTGTGTTTTTGCCAGCCCTGGAATCCAATGAGGTTCCGAAGCCTTCCATTGGCCCCACCCACTTCTGGTAGAGCTCGTCCCGCCGCCTCTCGGAGGCGTCGTACTGCGCCTGCGCATATGTTCTATCTATCTGTAAGCTCTGTGATTCACTGTATATAGTGTAGGCAGGGGCGGGGCCTCAGGGTTTCTGCCAGCCCTGGAAGCCAATGAGGCTCCGAGGTCTTCCATTGGCCCCACCCACTTCTGGCAGAGCTCGCCCCCCGCCTCTGGAAGCGTCGATCTGCTCCTGCGCGTATGTTCTATCTGTAAGGGGCGGGGCTTCGGGGTTTCTGTCAGCCCTGGAATCCAATGAGGTTCCGAAGCCATTCATTGGCTCCACCCACTTTTGCCAGAGCTCGCCCCCGCCTCTGGAAGCGTCATTCTGCGCCTGCGCATATGTTCTTTCTATCTGTAAGCTGATTAATTGTATATCTCTAGTGTAGAAAGGGGCGGGGCCTCGGGGTTTCTGCAAGCCCTGGAATCCAATGAGGCTCCGAGGCTTTCCATTGGCCCCGCCCACTTCTGGCAGAGCTCGGCCCCCGCCTCTGGGAGTGTCGTTCTGCGCCTGCGCGTATGTTCTATTTCTCTGTAAGCTCTGTGATTCACTGTATATCATGTAGAAAGGGGCGGGGCCTCGGGGTTTCTGCCAGCCATGGCACCCAGTGAGGCTCCGAGGCCTTCCATTGGCCCAGCCCACTTCTGGCAGAGCTTACCCCCACCTGTGGGAGTGTCGTTCTACGCCTGCGCGTCTGTTCTATCTGTAAGGGGCGGGGCTTCGGGGTTTCTGCAAGCCCTGGCACACACTGAGGTTCCGAAGCCTTCCATTGGCCCCACCCACTTCTGGCAGAGTTCTTCCCCTAGGCCCTGGAGGAGTCATTCTGCGCCTGCGCATATGTTCCAACTGTAAGGGGCGAGGCTTCGGGATTTCTGTCAGCCCTGGAATCCAATGAGGTTCCGAAGCCATTCATTGGCCCCACCCACTTTTGCCAGAGCGCTCTGGAAGCGTCGTTCTGCGCCTGCGCGTATGTTCTATCTGTAAGGGGCGGGGCTTCGGGGTTTCTGCCAGCCCTGGAATCCAATGAGGTTCCGAAGCCATTCATTGGCTCCACCCACTTTTGCCAGAGCGCTCTGGAAGCGTCGTTCTGCGCCTGCGTGTATGCTCTATCTGTAAGGGGCGGGGCTTCGGGGTTACTGCCAGCCCTGGAATCCAATGAGGTTCCGAAGCCTTCCATTGGCCCCACCCACTTCTGGCAGAGCTCGCCCTCCGCCTTTGTAAGCGTCGTTCTGCGCCTGCGCGTATGTTCTATCTATCTGTAAGCTCTGTGATTCACTGTATATCATGTAGAAAGGGGCGGAGCCTCGGGGTTTCTATCAGACCTGGCACGCAATGAGGTTCCGAAGCCTTCCATTGGCCCCGCCCACTCTGGCAGAGCTCGTCCCCTAGGCCCTGGAGGAGTCATTCTGCGCCTCCGCGTATGTTCTATCTGTAAGGGGCGGGGCTTCGGGGTTTCTGCCAGCCCTGGAATCCAATGAGGTGCCGAAGCTTTCAATTGGCCCCACCCACTTCTGGCAGAGCGTCGTTCTACGCCTGCGCGTCTGTTTTATCAGTGAGGGGCGGGGCCTCGAGGTTTCTGCCAGCTCTGGAATCCAATGAGGTTCCGAAGCCATTCATTGGCTCCACCCACTTTTGCCAGAGCGCTCTGGAAGCGTCGTTCCCACTGTAAGGGGCGGGGCTTCGGGGTTTCTGTCAGTCCTGGCACCCAGTGAGGCTGCGAGAGCTGCCATTGGCCCCGCCCACTCCGGCAAAGTTCTTCCCCCCGCCCGTCGGGGGCGTCGTTCTGCGCCTGCGCGTATGTTCCAACTGAAAGGGGCGGGGCTTCGGGGTGTCTGTCAGACTTGACACCCAATGAGGCTCCGAGGCCTTTCATTGGCCCAACCCACTTCTGGCAGAGCTCGCCCCCGCCTCTGGAAGCGTCGTTCTGCGCCTGCGCGTATGTTCCAAGTGTAAGGGGCGGGGCTTCAGGGTGTCTGTCAGACTTGACACCCAATGAGGCTCCGAGGCCTTTCATTGGCCCAACCCACTTCTGGCAGAGCTCGCCCCCGCCTCTGGAAGCGTCGTTCTGCGCCTGCGCGTATGTTCCAACTGAAAGGGGCGGGGCTTCGGGGTTTCTGTCAGCCAAAATACCCAGTGAGGCTGCGAGGACTGCCATTGGCCCCGCCCACTCTGGCAGAGTTCTTCCCCCCTCCCGTCGGGGGCGTCGTTCTGCGCCTGCGCGGCGTGCACCTGCGCCCAGTCCCGTTATTCGCGCCGGCGCCGGGATGTCGTGAGGCGAGCGAGCGGGCGAGCGGGCGGGCGAGGGGGAGCCATGTTGGGCGGCGGGGAGGCCAGCCCGGAGGCCCTTCCCAGTGAGGAGTCCTCGGAGGAGCTGAGCGCCTGCAGCAAGGAGGAGCTGGTGCGTCGGCTGCGGCGGGAGGAGGCGGCCAAGCTGTCGGCGCTGGTGCAGCGCGGGCGCCTCATCCAGGGCGTGAACCGGCAGCTGCAGGAGCACCTGCGCGAGGTGCGCGAGCTGAAGGCCGTCAACGGGCGCCTCCAGGCCGAGAACCGCGAGCTGCGCGACCTCTGCTGCTTCCTGGACGAGGACCGCGCCAAGGCCAAGCGCCTCGCCCGCCACTGGCAGCTCTTCGGCCACCACGCCGCCCAGGCCCTGCGCGAGGAGGTGGCCGCCTGCCTACGCAAGCTGGCCGGCCTCGAGGGCCTCCAGGAACGCCTCGCCCGAGACAACCTGGAGCTCAAGGAGCTGTGCCTGGCCCTGGAGGACGAGTGCGCATGCGCCGCCGCCCCCGCCCTCCTCGCCGCCGCCCCCCCACCCTCGGGGGCGCCCCCCGACGTCGCCAGCCCCGGCGCCCACCCCGAGCTCGGCCTCCTCCCCCCCTGCGGGCCCCGGGACCTCGGCGACGGGAGCTCCAGCACCGGAAGCCTCGGCAGCCCCGACCAGAGCCACCCGGGATGCTCCCCCGACGGGTGAGGCCTCTGCCGGGAGGGCTTCGGCGGTGTCTCGCCCCTGGCACCTCAAGGGCCCTTTGGGGCTGTCTCCCATCCTTAGGGCATCTGTTGGGAAGGTTTTGTTGGTGTCTCTCCCCAGGCACTTCAAGGGCCCTTTGGGGCTGTCTACCACCCTTAGGAGACACTGCATGGGCATCTGTCGGGAGGGCTTCGCTGGTGTCTCTCCCCTGGCACCTCAAGGGCCCTTTGGGGCTGTCTACCACCCTTAGGGCATCTGTTGGGAGGGATTTGTTGGTGTCCTCCTGCCTGCCAGACAACGCCAAGACGGCCCTTGACATCTCCTCCTCTGCTACTCCTCTCACTACAGCCAGGCACCTGAATGGCCCATGAGGCTCTCTACCATCTTTAAGAGACACCACATGGGCCTCTGTTGGGAGGGCTTCGCTGGTGCCTCTCCCCAGGCACCTCGAGGGCCCTTTGGGGCTGTCTACCACCCATAGGAGACACTGCATTGGCATCTGTCGGGAGGGCTTCGCTGGTGTCTCTCCCCAGGCACCTCGAGGCCCCTTTGGGGCTGTCTCCCATCCTTAGGGCATCTGTTGGGAAGGTTTTGTTGGTGTCTCTCCCCAGGCACTTCAAGGGCCCTTTGGGGCTGTCTACCACCCTTAGGAGACACTGCATGGGCATCTGTCGGGAGGGCTTCGCTGGTGTCTCTCCCCAGGCACCTCAAGGGCCCTTTGGGGCTGTCTGCCACCCTTAGGGCATCTGTTGGGAGGGATTTGTTGGTGTCCTCCTGCCTGCCAGACAACGCCAAGACGGCCCTTGACATCTCCTCCCCTGCTTCTCCTGTCACTACAACCAGGCATCTGAATGGCCCTTGGGGCTGTCTACCATCCTTAGGAGACACTGCATTGGCATCTGTCGGGAGGGCTTTGCTGGTGTCTCTCCCCAGGCACCTCGAGGGCCTTTTGGGGCTGTCTACCACCCATAGGAGACACTGCATTGGCATCTGTCGGGAGGGCTTCGCTGGTGTCTCTCCACAGGCACCTTGAGGGCCCTTTGGGGCTGTCTACCATCCTTAGGGCATCTGTTGGGAAGGTTTTGTTGGTGTCCTCCTGCCTGCCAGACAATACCAAGACGGCCCTTGACATCTCCTCTCTTGCTTCTCCTGTCACTACAGCCAGGCACCAGAATGGCCCTTGAGGCTCTATACAATCCTTTAGAGAGACAGCATGGGCCTCTTTTGGGAGGGCTTTGTTGGTGTCCTCCTGCCTGCCAGACAACACCAAGGTGGCCCTTGACATCTCCTCCCATGCATCTCCTGTCTCTACAGCCAGGCACCTGAATGGCCCTTGGGGATCTCCACCATCCTTAGGAAAGACCGTATGGGCATCTGTTGGGAGGGTTTTGTTGGGATCTCTCTGCCTTGCCGGAAGGAGGCACTCCTGTCATAATAGCTAGGCACCTCAAGGGCCCTATGGGGCTGTCTACCACCCTTAGGGCATCTGTTGGGAGGGATTTGTTGGTGTCTTCCTGCCTGCCAGACAACACCAAGATGGTCCTTGACATTTCCTGCCATGCATCTCCTGTCACTACAGCCAGGCACCTGAATGGCCCATGAGGCTCTCTATTATCCTTAAGAGAGACCGCATGAGCCTCTGTTGGGAGGGATTTGTTGGTGTCCTCCTGCCTGTTAGACAACACCAAGATAGCCCTTGACATCTCCTCCCTTGCTACCCATGTCACTAAAGCCAGGCACCTGAATGGCCCTTGAGGCTCTCCATCATTCTTAGCAGAGACCGCATGGGCCTCTGTTGGGAGGGCTTTGTTGGTGTTCTTCTGCCTGCAAGACAACACCAACATGGTCCTTGACATCTCCTCCCTTGCTACTCCTGTCACTACAGCCAGGCACCTGAATAGCCAAATTTAGGAGAGACCACATGGGCCTCTGTTGGGAGGGTTTTGTTGGTGTCTTCCTTCCTGCCAGACAGCGCCAAGATGGTCCTTGACATCTCCTCCACTTCCAGAAAGAAGGCACTCCTGTCACTACACTCACGGCCTTTGGGGTTATCTACCATCCTTAGGAGAGACTGCATGGGCCACTGTTGGGAGGGTTTTGTTGGTGTCCTCCTGCCTGCCAGACAACACCAAGGTGGCCCTTGACATCTCCTCCCTTGCTACTTCTGTCACTACAACCAGGCACCTGAATGGCCAAATTTAGGAGAGACCACATGGGCCTCTGTTGGGAGGGTTTTCTTGGTGTCTTCCTGCCTGCCAGACAGCGCCAAGATGGTCCTTGACATCTCCCCTTCCAGAAAGAAGGCACTCTTGTCACTACAGCCACGGCCTTTGGGGCTGTCTACCATCCTTAGGAGAGACCTCATGGGCATCTGTTGGGAGGGTTTTGCTGGTGGCCTCCTGCTTGGCAGACGACACCAAGATGGCCCTTGACATCTCCTCCCCTTCCAGAAAAGAGGTGCTTCTGTCACGACAGCCAGGGCCTTTGGGACTGTTTACCATCCTTAGCAGAGACCGCATGGGCTTCTGTTGGGAGGGTTTTGTTGGTGTCCTCCTGACAACACCAAGACAGCCCTTGACATCTCTTCCCCTGCTACTCCTGTCACTACAGCCAGGCACCTGAATGGCCCTCGGGGCTGTCTACCATCCTTAGGAGAGACCACATGGGCCTCTGTTGGGAGGGATTTGTTGGTGTCCTCCTGCCTGCCAGACAACACCAACATGGCCCTTTTCCCCTGACAGAAAAGAGGCACTCCTGTCATGACAGCCAGGGCCTTTGGGGCTGTCTACCATCCTTAGGAGAGACCGCATGGGCAGAGATTGGCACCTAGATGGCCCTTGACATGTCTTCCGCTGCCACTCCTGTCGCTGCAGCCAGGTACCTGAATGGCTCTTTCCCCGTTATTATTATTATTGTTATTACGGGGAGATAGGGCAGAATATAAATAATGTATTATTATTATTATCTCTCATCACTGGTGGGATAATAATAATAATAATAATAATAATAATAATAATAATAATTTATATTCCGCCCTATCTCCCCATTAATATTCTGCCCTATCTCCCTGTTATTATTATTATTATTATTATTATTATTATCCCACCAGTGATGAGAGATAATAATAATAATAAATTTGTATATTCTGCCCTATCTCCACATTATTATTATCCCACCAGTGATGAGAGATAATAATAATAATAATAATAATAATAATCCACTCTATTTCCCCATTATTATTATTATTATTATTATTATTATTATTATTATGGGGAGATAGGACGGAATATAAATAATTTATTATTGTTATTATCTATCATCACTGGTGGGATAATAATAATAATAATAATAAATTTTTATATTCCGCCCTATCTCCCCTTTACTATTATTATTATTAAACCACCAGTGATGAGAGATAATAATAATAATTTTTTTATATTCTGCCCTATCTCCCTGTTATTATTGTTATTATTATGGGGAGATAGGGCAGAATATAAATTTATTATTATTATTATTATTATCTCTCATCACTGGTGGGTTAATAATAATAATACATTTTTATATTCTGCCCTATCTCCCCATTATTATTATTTTTATTATCCCACTAGTGATGAGAGATGATAATAATAATAATAATAATAATAAAATTCCGCCCTATCTCCTCGTTATTATTATTATAACGGGGAGATAGGGCAGGATATAAATAATAATTTATTATTATTATTATTATTATCTCTCATCACTGGTGGGTTAATAATAACAATAATAAATTTTTATATTCTGCACTATCTCCCCGTTACTATTATTATTATTATTATTATTATTATTCCACTAGTGATGAGAGATAATAATAATAATAATAATAATAATAATAATAATAATAATAAATTTTTATATTCCGCCTTATCTCCCCGTTGTTGTTGTTGTTGTTGTTATTATTATTATTACAGGGAGATAGGGCGGGATATAAATAATTTATTATTATTATTATCTCTCATCACTGGTGGGATAATAATAATAATAATAATAATAATAATAATAATAATAAATTATATTCCTTCCTATCCCCCATTATTATTATTATTATTATTATTATTATTATTATCATCATCATCCCAACAGTGATGGGACATAATAATAATAAATTATTTATATTCCGCCCTATCTCCCCGTTGTTGTTATTATTATTATTATTATTATTATTATCATCCCACCAATGATTAGAGATAATAATAATAATAATAATAATAATAATAATAAATAATATATTCTGCCCTATCTCTCCAAAGGGATTCAGCAATTTGGGATGTGATGCTGCTTTCTTCCTATCGTTCCTAAACGATGGGGACCTAATTCCAATCGTCTGGAAAGAATTTATGACATTTTAGGGGCCGTAGATGAGGTCGACGGAGGTTTTGTCGCCCTGCGAATGTATGAAACGGACCAAAAACTCGTTCCGGTTTTGGGGCAGCTATCCTGAACAATGTGAGAACGGCATGCATGTTGTTGCAGGTCTCTTTTGTTATTGGATTTCATACTTTGAGAGAGAGAAGCCCTTCCCAGAAAGACTTTATTACCATTTGAAAGGTTTGCTGACCCAAGCAAAGATGTCCCCTAATGTGGTTTTGGAAGGCGACTCTGTAAATGTACTTCTGAATAGCAATAGTTTGAGGATTCGGCTTGGACCGAGGATATAAATAGTCCTAGGAACTCCCCGACACTGGACATGGATGCCTGTGGATTACAAGTTTTGCTCCCTTGGTTCTGCTGCGAAGATGGGGGAAACGCTTCTTTTGTGGACAGAACTCTTTGTAGGAAAGTCTGTTGATTTTTTTTAAAAAACTAGATCCTCGGATTCCTTCCTTCCTTCCTTCCTTCCTTCAAGACACTGGAACCCGGGCCAAGGCCGCATAGCTTCCCCTCCTGGATACAGCCAGACCGTGACTTGCGGGGGATTTGTAGTTTTCTTTGTACAGCCGGTGGCCCCTAAACTGGAAAAAAAGGGAGGGCGCCGGGCATGTGAATATCTTCTCCCTCTTTCTCCTCCTCAGGATGTTAAATAAATGTTTTGAAACTGTTGCTTCTGGAAAGGATTGTATTTTTTGAATCTTAAGAGGGATCCCCAAAGGCCATCTAGTCCAGGCTTGGAGGGTGGATTAGGCTCCTTGAGCTCTTTTCTCAGGCGTTCCTCTCTCTCACCATCCTATACTTTCCTCCTCTTTCCTTTCTCCTTCCCTCCTTCCTTAACTCCCTCTTTCTCCCTCCCTCTTTCCTTCCCTTCCACCCTTTCATCCTTCCCTTTTTCTCCTCTCTCCCTCTTTCTTCTTCCTTCCTTCCTTCCCTTTTGTCCTTCCTTCCTTCTCTTTCCTCCTTCCCTCCCTTCCTCTTCCTCCCTTCCTCCATTCCCTTCCACCCTTTTGTCCTCCTTCCCTCTCTCTCTCTCTCTCTCTCCTTCCTTCCTTCCTTCCTTTTCTTTCCTTCCTTCTTTTCCTTCCTTCCTTTCTCCCCTTTTCTTCATTCCCTCTTTCCTCTCTCCCTCTTCCTTCCTTCCCTTTTTCTTTCTTCCTTCCTTTTTCCCCTTCCCTCCCTTCTTCCTCTCTTTCTCTTCCTCCTTCCCTCCTTCTCCCCTTCCTTCCTTCCTTCCCTCTTTCATCCCTCCTTCCCTCTCTCTCTTTCTCCCTTCCTTCCTTCTTTCCCTTTTGTGTTTCCTTCCTTCTTCCCTTCCTTCCTTACCTCTTTTCTCTCTCCTCTCTCCTCTTTCTCCTTCCTTCTTTCCCTTTTATCTTTCCTTCCTCTCTTTCCATCTTCCCTCCCTTCCTCTTCCTCCCTCCCTCCATTCCCTTCCACCCTTTTGTCCCTCCTTCCCTCTCTCTCCTTCTCCTTCCTTCCTTTCCTTTTGTCTTTCCTTCCTTCTTCCCTTCCTTCCTTATCTCCCTCCTTTCTTCCTCCCCTCTTTCCTCTCTCCCTCTTTCTCCCTTCCTTCCTTCCCTTTTGTCTTTCCTTCCTTCTCTTTCCTTATTCCCTCACTTCCTCTTCCTCCCTCCCTTCATTCCCTTCCACCCTTTCATTCTTCCTTCCTTGTCTCTTTCCTTCCTCCTTCCATCCTTCCCTTCCACCACCTCTTCTTCCTTCCTTCTCTCTTTCTCCTTTTCTTCCTTCCCTTTTGTCTTTCCTCCTTCTTCCTTCTTCCTTCCTTCCTTCCTTCCTTCCTTCTTTCATTCTTTCCCTTTTGTCTTTCCTTCCTTCTCTTTCCTCATTCCCTCACTTCCTCTTCCTCCCTCCCTTCATTCCCTTCTACCCTTTCGCCCTTCCTTCCTTTCTCTTCCTTCCTCCTTCCTCCTTCCTTCTCCTCTTCTTCTCCTTCCCTTTTCTCTTCTCCCTTCCTTCCTTCCTTCCTTCCTCCTTCCTTCTCTTCCTTCCTTCCTTCCTTCCTTCCTTCCCTCTTTCCTTCCTTCTTCCCTTTCTTCCTTCCTTCTTCCTTTTTCCCTTTTCTTTCTTCCTTCCTTTTCCTTCCTCCTTCCTCTTCCTCCCTCCCTTCTTCCCTTCTCCTTTTTCCTTCCTTCCTTTCTCTTTCCTTCCTCCTTCCTTCCTTCCCTTCCCTCTTCTCCTTCTTTCTCTCTTTCTCCCTTCCTCCCTTTTGTCTTTCCTTCCTTCTTCCCTTCCTTCTTACCTCCCTCTTTCTCCCTCTTTCTTCCTTCCTTCCTTTCCTTTTGTCTTTCTTTCCTTCTCTTTCTCCTTCCCTCCTTCCTCTTCCTCCCTCCCTCCATTCCCTTCCACCCTTTCATCCTTCCTTCCTTCTCTCTTTCCTTCCTCCTTCCATCCTTCCACCTTTTCATCCTTCCCCCTTTCTCCTTTCATCCTCCCTTCTCTTTCCTCCCTCCCTCCCTCCATTCCCTTCCACCCTTTCATCCTTCCTTCCTTCTCTCTTTCCTTCCTCCTTCCCTCCTTCCCTTTTCATCCTTCCCCCTTTCTCCTTCTCCTCCTTCTCTTCTCCCTCCCTCCCTCCATTCCCTTCCACCCTTTCATCCTTCCTTCCTTCTCTCTTTCCTTCCTCCTTCCATCCTTCCACCTTTTCATCCTTCCCCCTTTCTCCTTTCATCCTCCCTTCTCTTTCCTCCCTCCCTCCCTCCATTCCCTTCCACCCTTTCATCCTACCTTCCTTCTCTCTTTCCTGCCTCCTTCCATCCTTCCCTTCCACCTTTTCATCCTTCCTTCCTTCCCTCCTTCCCCCTCTTTCTCCTTTCATCCTCCCTTCCTTCTCTTTCTTTCCCTTCCTTCCTTCCTTCCATCCATCACCAGACATCCAGTTCTAGGGAGTTCTAGCTCACAGCCCTCAAGTTAGAAAGTTAGCCCTTGCCTGATCTAGTCTAACTCCTTGGGGTGCAGGAATACACAGCTAGAGCACTCCTGAAAGATGCTCAACTGACCTCTAAGTATGGAGACTTTTCTGCCCTCCAAAAGCGGTCTCTTGTGCTTACTAAAGCTCTGTCTTTTGCATAACCAGATATTCAGAGATATCCTCATAGTCTTCTCCAAGCTCCAACAATAATAATTGCAGCCAAGGCATATTTATTATTATTACTAGCTTTCGTACCTGGCATTGCCCAGGTTATTTGAAAAAGTCAATTTTTTAATTGTACAAAATGCATAAGGTTGTGGGTGAACTACAACTCACATCATGCCAGGTGAACCCCGAAAAACTCCACCAGTGTTTAAAGTTTGTTTTGTAGGGCAAGTTAGCTTTAGATGTATCATTGACGAGGTTCAGTGTGCTCTCTGGCTGTAAGGTAAACTACAACTCCCACAATGGTGAATCAAACCCCTCCAGTAGGTTGAGTTAGTCATGGGGGTTCTGTGTGCCAAGTTTGGTCGAGGTCCCTCATCAGTGGAGGTCACAGTTTCTCTGGCTGTAGGGTGAACTACAACTCCCACTATGGTGAGTCAGTCCCCTCAAACCCCTCCAGTAGGTTAAGTTAGTCATGGGGGTTCTGTGTGCCGAGTTTGGTCGAGGTCCCTCATCAGTGAAGGTCACAGTTTCTCTGGTTGTGGGTGAACTACAACTCCCAGAAAGGAAGATCAGCCCTCCCCCCAAACCCCTCAAGTAATCAAATTTCAGCATATCAGGTATTTGTGCCAAATTTGGTTCAGATCCATCGGTGTTTGGGTTCACAGTGCTCTTTGAATGTAGGTGAACTA